GGGAGCAGTAAGCACCGCCCAGCCGCAGCTGGAGTGGAAGCTGCAGGAGTGCGGGGTGGAGCCCCGGCCCCGCCCCCCCGGCCCCGCCCCGCCCCCGGCCCCGCCCCCGGCCCCGCCCCTCGCGCCGCGCAGCCTCTTTTGGGGCCCTCCCAGGGACCTTCATCCTCAGGTCCTCAGCCGCAGGGCGGCCCTGAAGCGGTAGATCCTTCAGCACCAGCCCCGGGAGCCTGTCAGTGAGTGTTGAAGGGCCCTTACATTAATACCTGGGGGCCTGCGGGCGTGGCAGCTGACCCCACCCACTTGGTTGCCTCCGACAAGGCTGGGTGGAGGCTCCTTCGGGCCCGAGGCACCCAGCTCCTGTTTTCCCCATGAGCCCTGAAGCTGCCCTCGTGGCCTGGGAAAATCAGTACTAGACTTCACATCTGTAACGTATCCGTGGCACGTGGGGTGGGAAACTGCCCCGGAGTGGCGGTTCTCAGGTTCTCACGTTAGCATGCATCAGAATCACCTGGAGGGCTTGTTAGCACCTTGCTGGCCTCACCACGCTCCCCCGCCACCGTTTCTGATTCAGCAGGTCTGGGCTGGGACCTGAGATTTGACATTGGCTAACAGGTTCTCAGGTTATGCCGTTGCTCTGGAATCACACCTTGAAAACCTCAGTCATAGAGATTAACCAAAAGTGTTTTCTAAATACTCGCTGTAAAGCAGCCCCTTCTCACTCCCTTACCTTGGTTTATTTTTCTTAAGAGCAATTATTATTACTTGATGTTATATATTTGTCTGCTTTTGCTTGTCCTTGGTAAGCTGAAGGATACTTGTTGCTTATATCAACATGCTTTTTTGGAAGGCAGCAGCCGAAGCTGAAAACATGAGAGTGAAAAAGGTCACTCAGGCAGAAGGGGAACAACAAAAAGGAGAAGGAACAAGGAGAGACTGTGGGGTATGCGGGCATTTAATATCAGAAAAGGATATAGAGCAGAAAGCGGGGCAGTCAACCCACTGAGGAGAGATTTTCACCAAAGGAGAGGACACCAAGAGTAAACATCAGAGATAATCTAAGATGGAAAGACTGACAGATCTTTAAGATTTGTCAATTATGAGATTTGTTATTGACGATTTTGGTAAAAGTAACTTAAGAAAGCTGTGCAGAGTAGCAGGCTCCTTGCTTAGTGAATGGTGGTTGAAAGAGTGGGGGAAAAATGCGTGTGGACTGTTTATTCAAGGATTTGGCCATGCAGGAATGGCTACAGAGGTATACAGGTCAAAAGAATTTTCTGTCTCCCACTCCCTGTGTTTTTGTTGTGTAAGATAAAAAAGATTAGAGCATAGTTTTTTTTTGTGATAGGAAAGGAGTCCACAAGGAGATGTTGAATATCCAGGACTGGGTAATCCTAGCCAAAGGTTATGGTCCTAGAGGACTTGGGGGATAGACTCAGGAGTGGACTGGATGGGTAAGGCAGCCCCTCACCTGCTGAGACCAGGGGGAAAGATGAGAGCCAGGGCTGGTTTAGAGGCTTGGATTGGAGTTGAGGATGTTCATACATGAAAGGCTTCATGTTCTCTGGGAGTCCAAGCAAAGTCATTTTCTAGTGGTGAAGCAGGAGTGGATAAAAAGTGTAGGAGGGCTGGTCAAGGTTGGACTAATTGCTGTGGGAAATAGAACACAATAGTGGCATCAAATGTTCCCAAATTGGGCATAATGTCAAAAAAATTTGGGAGGCAGGAATGCTATATTGGTTCTGTCATGAGCTTTGGTTCACCCACTCCCTGTTTATCTACAGATCCTCTCATTCCTGTCACAAGGCAATATTCAAGCTGCAGAAGCTTAAAAACACAACCACACACACACACACAAACTCTTTCCTGGCTGTTTTCTAAGACAGCAATACTGTAGGAGCAGCTGCAATTGAAACACCCCCCCCCCCCCCAGATGCAAGCTGGGCTAGGAGGTGGCCAGCTGGAGCCAGCTAATTACCAGAATGAACTGAGCATCACCATAGGCAGCAGGGTGGAAAATACATTCGTCTAACTCACAGAACTGTCTGCTTGTGCTTAATTAATGGCAGGATTCCAAGGAATGAACTCAACAAACAACCCACTAAGTCTTTCTGTTTTGTGTAACAACAAAAGCAAACAAACCAACAAAAACAACTCCAGGTCTGGGGAGCAGAGGCATCTCACGAGTGAGAGACAGGGCTTGTCACCCTATTCCCAGAACTAAATCAGATCCTGGATTCAGAGCCTCTTGGGTGTAGCCCAGATATTCTTAAGGATGCTGCCAAGACACTGTCCCTAAGCCTCCCAGACTTTTGTCCCAGCTTTTCCCCAAAGGCCTTGTGATCCTTTTAGGATAACTGCTCTGAAGAAAAGGACGTTTTCTTTTTTCAGTGACGATCACTTGCTAGTTCTAAACCGACACTGATTTCTGGGACCAAAAATGTCACTGTTTGCCATTAACATTCTGAGCTTGTAGGGGTTAGGTGATGAATTCCAGGCCAGGTTCACCTTGGGATAGGGCTGGTGGGACTGTGAGTTCATGCTGTGGTCATGTACCCTACTTGCCAAGTGAATAGCTGGAATAGGAATCTCAGCAACTGACAATTCTTGTGATGGCACATTCACTCATTAAGCGAGGGTTATTCTGGTTGGAAATGCCAATTGGAGGGCTAAATAATACATCAAAACCATTACCATATACCTGGAGAATTGCAGAGCCGAGTGTCATCATCAAAGGCATGGAAGATGCTGGTGTGATTGTTCCCACCTCATTCCCATTCACTTCCCAGGTTAGACACCACAAAGGGCAGTGCATTATTGTAAACCCAAGCCAGCGATGGCTCTAATTGCAGCTACTCTTTAATGGGATCTCCTTACCCGAGTAACTCAAACAGCCCCTGACACTTGGTTTGGAGTTATTGATCTGGGATTTAGCTCCAGAATATCTTTTTAAAGATCTCTCTCTCTTTTTTTTTTTCCACATTATGCACCAATACCTTTCTAGATTCAGTCATAAGTGTTCTGTTTTTATTGCCTACCACTCTTTATTTATTATTTGGCAGAAGTATTTAATTTTAAATTAGTGTAGTCGATCCTTCTCTTTTCAGTTTGTGCTTATGCATCTTGTTTAGGAACTTGTTATCCCTAAACGAATTCATTAAAAATATCACCTATGTTTATTTCCCAAAGTATAAAGTTTACTTTTCACAATTCGTTCTTTAGCCCACTTGGAAATTTTTTTTTTTCATGTGGTGTAAGTAAGGATCTAATTTTATTTTTATTCATATAGAGAGCATATTTCCCCAGTGTCATTTGCTGAATACTCCATCGTTTACCTAGTATCTTGAAATGCTCCTTCTGTCATATACCAGGTACCTCAAAGTAGAGGGCGGCCTGTTTCTAAGTTCTCTCTCTCCTGTCCATTGGTCTATTTTTCTTTCTCTACATGAGTACCACAGTCTACCACTCTTTATTATCTCTTTGTTCGTGTCTGTATATCGTTTCTTTAAAGTGGGGATCATAATTATATTTCTCTAAGAATAACTGGGAAGAAAATTAGACGCTCTTTGTGAAGAGCATCGAGTTAAGTGCTCAATATGTGGTAGTTGTTATCTCAAATAATTGGGGATGAGAATCTGGGATGGTTTTTCAATTCATTGTTCACTTCGCAGGAGTCATTCTCAAGTTACTTAGTGAAATAAGCTTTCTGAAGCTTACATGTCTGACCAAGTCTTGTCTTTTCCTGCACTTGATTCCCATTCTTCTAGGCTATGTCTAGAGGACGGGATCATTTTTCTTTAGTTATCTAAGGACTCAGTGGGCCTTTTTAACCTGAAACTGTTTTTCTTCACATCTGGGACACTTGCCTTCTTTTTAGACTCCCCAAACCCCACCACCATTCTTTCTGTCGCTTCTATGACATGTCATTCAGATGTTGGAACGTCTGGATCCATTTTTCACGTCTCATCATTCCCCTTTTTTGTTGCCGTGTCTCTTCTGCTATAAACCAGGCCATAAATCTCTTCTATTATTTGTCTTTCAGGGATTCCTCAATGTAACTGGCTCACTGATGGAACATTTTGTTCCCGGAGCTTTTTTTGGATTAACGATTAACGTCGTCGAATTTTAGATGGGAACTACAATTCACGTGTGTGCACAGGTTTTCTTTGTGATTTGTAATTCGAATTCCTCTGTTATGTTTTGGTTTGTCGTGTTTCTTTAATTAGATTGGACATTTTGAGGTCATTCTGTCGTGCCTCTCTTTCTGTACCTCTTAAACTGTTTTTCTGGTTTTCAAGGACTTTATACAACACGTGGCTCGTTCCACCTGTCCAGTTAGCACATCCCCAGGCTATTTCTTCAAATCCATTGTCTTCAGTTTCCCAGCTCAGTTTGCTTGCAGTGGCACCTGGAAGGTTCTTCACCCTCATTCCAGAAGCTCTGGGCGCCCCACCCGCTCCGCTCCGGGAGCTCAAGGTGCCGCTGGCTCTGGAGGGATTCTCCGCCAGGCCGACAGCAGCGTCAGGCTTGCTCCATCGGAGTCTCCGCTGATCCGACCTGGGTGTCATTTTTTTTTTCCCCGCTTAAATAAGCTCTGCAGGTGGTTGGGAGGCACACGCAGGTTCAGAACCTCGGGGCCCCCTCCCCCCTCCCCCTCCCCTCCGCGCACCTGCCGGCCCCTAGGGCGCCCCCGACCCCCGCCTCGGCCCCGCCCGCCGGCCGGCGAGGTGACCTGGGAGCTTCCGGAGCCGCAGCCCCACCTCCCGTCTCCCAGTCACTTCGGAGGAGGTCGGCGCCGGGACGCCCCCGCCCGACGGGAGCCAGCGCTGCCCCGCGCGCACACCCCCCCCCCCCCGGCGGGGCCCCCGCCCCCCGCCCCCCGCCAACCGTCGCACCGGCCGCGCGCCCTCGGGGCTGGAACGCGGCGCCGCGCCGCCTGCCGGCCGCCCTCGGGCCCTGGTGCGCAGGCGCGGGGGCGCCGCGGCGCTGCTGGTCCCCGGCGGCCGGGCGGGCGGGAGAGCGCCTCGACTCCCCGGGCCCCAACGGCAGCCCCGCGCCCGCGCCCGCCCCCGCGCCCGGGGGCGACACGGGTGAGGGAGCCCGCGGCGTGGACGGCCCTCGGGGCGGCGGGCGGCGGAGCCCCCCACGGCGCTCGGGCGCTCGGGCCCCCGGGGAGAGAGGTCGGGGGCGCGGCGGGGCCCCCGGGCCCGAGCTTGGAGGGGCTGGTGGACGTGGGTGGGGGCGCGGCCGCCCCAGGCCTGGTCCCGGGGGCGCCGTCGGTGCGAGGCTGGCGGGGTCGGCTGCTACCCCCAGCAAGCCCTTGTTCGTGCTTCAGGAACAAGCGCACGAACGACAGAAACCGGGCCCGGAACGTGGACTTCCAGACCCACCAGCCGGGGGCAGGGTCGTCAGCGCGGCTTGATGATGCAGAGTGTGAACTGTCACGATTTTGCTTCAGCTTTGTCGGCTTTAGAAGTCGCGTTTTGGTTGTTTCTAGTAGGCCACTGTTGATCCTTTTAGCTCCACCCCCCCCCCCCCCCCCCGCCCCAACACACAGCCTGGACGGGCCTGCTTTTCTCATGACCAACGTTTCTATCTTGCCTCTGGTAGGGTGCCATGTCCGAACAGGAGCGCATACAGGAATGCCTGAGAAAAGAAATAAGGTCACTTCTCATTTCCACCAAAGACGGTTTGACCCCGCAGCAGCTGGAAAAGGAGTACCTTCTGATGGTTGGCAACCACTTACCACTCCGAATCCTTGGCTATCGGTCCACCATGGAGCTGGTGTTGGACATGCCTGACGTTGTCACTGTCTCTCCCTGTGGGGATGGTTCTATAATACTGAGAGGTAAGCTTAGGATTTAAGGTCTTCAAGCAAGAAACACGCAGTAAGGCATCATCCTAGCAAATAAGTGGGTGATGGGGTGAGCACAGGGTGATGTATGGGATAGTTGGATCATTATTTTGTACACCTGAAGCTAATATGGCCCTGGTCTTTACTGACCGGAATTAAAAACTTGGAAGGAACTGTCGTAGCAGTTATCCTGCATATTAGCAGTTCTGCATCCCAGGGAGAGGATTTTAATATTTTGAGAGGGGTGGGGAGGGTTCATGGTTACTTTTGAGGTTGCGGGCAGAGTGAAAGCTATAGCAAAATCAAGAAATCTTTCCCCAGAAAAACGTGCATTCACAAAAACTACACTTTTACATACAATTTCAGGTTATCACCGTCTTAAATTGTGAGAAGCATAACAATGGGGAAAACATGAACTCATGTTTTAAATTTCATGGGTCACAAAGCATTGCAGGGAAGTTCATCTTGAGAGATTCAGATATTACAGCGGTCAGCAGTGATGCTAAATATTGTGCTTTATCTTTTTGTCCACATCCTCTGGTAGAGGAGCTAACCACTGGTTATGGAAACTACAAGAAATGAAGGAACCAAGGGTTCACATTTTTCATGCTACCTAGATACACAGCTCCTTAAGAGAGTTAAAGATTGTCTCTGTAATCACAGATGCAAAGGATGAAGGAGTTAAATTTTCACCTAAATATGATTTTTTTTTCACACCTCCTTAGCCATTCCAGATGAATCCACCAAAGGAATAGCAAATTTAGTGGCAAAACAGAGGAGCAGCCATAAGGTTCGAAACTCCATGCAGAAGGGAAGGGCCAGTGTTTGCTCTGGGTCGAGCTCCCATCGGCGAGTACCTTACCGAGGAAGGGTGCCCCCCATTCTTCCAGCAGTTGTGAAGAGTGAGTTGAAAGACCTCTTGGCGTTATCTCCCGTTCTCCTTTCTGATTTTGAGAAGGCATTTGCCAGACGATTTGGACGTTCATTCCAGTACGTGCAGTATGGATTCCTCTCTCTGTTTGAAGTGCTTAATGCTGCCTCGGATGTCATTTCTGTAGAGCAGACCAGAGCAGGCTCTTTGTTGATGCTAAAGAGGAGCATATCAGAGGAAAAGCAGAGAGGATGGCCAGCAGGTAAGCATGTTAGTGTTAGTTACTGTATTGTGGGTTAGCAGTTCTTGAGCAGTCATGGCTGCAGTAGAAGTACTTAATGCCCAAGCTCCCAGAGTTTGTTGAAGTTGCATCCTGGCTCTCAGACTTGCTGGCTGAGTCATCTTGCACAGGTTACTTAAAACGTCCAAGGCTTAGTTTCTTCCTCTTTAGAATAGGAATAATAATACTTGCCTCTTGTAGCTGTGTTGAGGATTAACTGAGATGACGTCTGAAAAGTGCCTGGCGTTTAATAAGGTTATAGTAAGTGGTAGCTGTTATTATAAAAACACAAGATCTGCTTTTTCTGAAACACTGTGAATGAACATGAGTCCTATGTGTTTGTGTAAAGATATCATGTGGAAAATGAAGAGTTTAAAAAATTATACTAGTCAGTAGCATTTGCCATCTGATTTTTGCTGATGCAGATCTTTGGTATCTGAAAAGATCACTGAAATAATTTATATAGTGTAGTGATAACCACCTTAATTAGCATTTGACCTTGGTTTCTCATTGCTACACCATAGAAAGGTGAATAACCCAATCTTAGAGATAAGGACAAGAAAGCTCAGGAAAGTTAAATGACTTTTCCAAAGTCACATGCTAGAAAAATATTACAGCCACGGTTAGATACTCAGCTCTTAATACTGTTCATCCTGTGCTTTTCTTTTTAATTTTTAAAATTTATTTTTTAAAGATTTTATTTATTTATTCATCTGAGACACAGAGGGAGAGACATAGGCAGAGGGAGGAGAAGCAGGCTCCATGCAGGAGCCCGATGTGGGACTCGATTCCGGAACTCTGGGATCGTGTCCTGAACCGAAGGCAGATGCTCAGCTGCTGAGCTACCCAGGCGTCCCTTTAAGGTTTTTTTTTTTTTTTAAAGATTTTATTTGAAAGAGAGCAAGTGAGAGAGCACAAGCAAGGGGAGCTGGAGAGGGAGAAGCAGGCTCCCTACTGAGCAGGGAGCTCAGCTTCAGGCTCATGACCTGAGCTTAACCTGCTGAGCCACCCAGGTGCTCCTCATCCAGTACTTTTCTTACCCAATCATTGTCCCTCCTGTTTTTGGTTTTTATATATATGTTTATGGAAGTACAGTTGACCTGCAACATTACTTTAGTTTCAGGTGAGCAACAGTGATTTGACAACTTTGTACTTAAGCTGTGCTCACCATGGTGTAGCTGCGAAGTTGTTACCATACCATTGACTGTATCCTCTATGCTGTACCTTTCATTCCTGAATCACTGTCTCTCTCAAAGACCCAAAAGACCAATGTGATCATTTGTATAGTGCCTTACTAGACCCTTGACAGTACAGAATCTATACACTGAGCCTGTTTGGGGGGAGTTTCTATGCCTTTCCAGTGATTTTGCTTTTTCTCTAAAATCTGAATTTAGATTAATGTAGATGAAACCATGAGAAAGTCCTAAGTGTAGAAACCGGTACTTAAACTGTGATATAGGAAGTATAATTTGATGAAGATACCTACAGTGTTTACATGTTCTGGTCAGGGAAGACTGCAGGGACCAGTGAGTGTTTTGAGTTGAGCCCTGGACCATCAATACAGTCAGTATTCTTGAATTGCTCAAACTTAGGGACACAAACTCATCATGCTGTTAAACCTTCAAGAAGTTGACCTGTAGAAAGCAGTTTGCCAACATACTGAATGGGGGAAGTGATATTCCTTCTTAGTGACCAGATTGCTCATGTTTCCCACCCGGAGACCCTTCTTCCTGTCATCAGGATATATTGGAAACAATTTTGTGTGTGAGTGAGCTTGATCTTACGGTAAAGAACTAGGCTGTAATGAAGTCTAACGATAAATTGTTCGTGTTGTACATCAGCATATATCTCTCCAGTGCTAATTCCCTCCTTACAAATCTTGAAGGAAAAAAAATCTGTACTCCAGAAAATCCTTTATTTTATAGCTGTTTTATCCTCCTTCCCTGCCCCCATACTACTAGGTGATTGTCTGGCTTGAGAAACATATTTTTAAGATTTTATTTATTTGAGAGAGCATGTGAGAGCACGAGTGAGGGGAGGGACAGAGGGACAAGTGGACTCGCTGCTGAGCAGTGAGCCTGACATGGGACTCAATCCAGGACCCTGAGATCAACCGACTGAGCTACCCAGGAGCCCTGAGAAGCATAGTTTTAAGCAGACTCCTTATTCAGAGACTTTTTGGCCTCCCAAGCAGGATACAGCTTTTTGGGTTTTTACCTATTGAAACTTGCCTCTCTCTAATTATACTCAGGTGGCCTTAAGTGGAGTTTTTAGGTAGCCCCAACCTTTTCAGTAACATACTTATGAGCCTCATGGTTTTCTTCAATAGCTGACTCCTTTTTTCCATTGTATGTAAATTTTATTTGGCAATATGAAAGTATAAGCATACTTTCCTTAGTTATTTCCAAGTTGAGGACAGTTAGGTCACAGTAGCCTCTTTATATAACTACCAGAAAATAAAGTAGAAATTGTGATAACTTTTCTCTGCTTTTCTTTTTATTCACAAAAGGAGGTAAAATGTTTACTCAGCCTTTTAGAATGAAACAACAAGGCTCATACTCCACAGGCTCCCCAGTTGCAAAGGCTTGCTTTTCGCAACCTACTTCAAACATTGAACCACCAAAGCAAATATTGAATGCAGAAAAGAATTTTAAGTCAAATGTAGTAGAGACTTCAAGGCCGAATCACACTGAAAAATTAAACCAGGTAAGTTATCTGATTTGGGGATATAAATACACCAAAAATGTGTTTAAATTCAGTGTTTTTTTTTTTTTTTTATTACTTAGATCTGATGGAAAAGATCATCTTTTAAAATTCAAGTCCTTTCAGATTTAGCTTCAGCATTTTCTATGGTTTTGGGGATTATTAGCTAATAAGAGGTGGAGTGAGAAAAGAGCAGTTTTATCAGTTCATATGATTTCTACAATAGGTTTCCCCTCCTGTTTGAAAGTAGTGTTCCTCTGAAACCTGTTGAAGTTGAAATGGTGTAAACAAAGCAAAGAAGCAATTACCATTAATTTATATGGAAAACATTTTGAGCATTCCCAGACCTTCAAAATAATCTCTAGTGGGCTTTTCTGATACCTTATGACATATCTTGGTAATGGTTTTTCTGATACCTTAAGTACACATCTTGCTAATTGTGGAGATAAAGCACAGTTGAAAGCTATGGAGGTTTGATGCTCAATATAGTTCTTGCAGGAGGAGGTTGGCAGTGCCGCTCTTGCTCAGAGTACACACTACACTGCCTCTATAACTACTCACTGAAAAACAAATGCTGGATGCTGGCTTCACTTTTGGCCTTTTTTTTTTTTTTTTCTAAAAGTGAAAATCCTCTTTTGATTCTTTGGGTTAGCAAAAACAAGAACTAACCCAATATCCTTCATAAAAACAAAGTGGCATAGTGTGAACTTTTGAAAAGCGAGGGATACTTGTACTTTCTGCAGATGACCCCCAAATCTCTCTCTAGTTCCAGCTTCTCACCAAAATCCTAAAAGTGTATTTGCAACTTTAACTCATGAATATCGTTACTTGAATGGTTGGCCCTGAGCGCTGCAGTGCTGGTATTTTTTTTTTTTTTTAACTATGTATACAATGAAGGATTTTTGAATAAAAGCTACTAGAATATAACCAACAAAAGCTCATTAAATTAGCAAGATAGCAACTTTTTTCATATCTAAAAATTATATTTTATTTAAATTCAGTTAACATGTATGTGTATTATTTCAGAGGTAGAGTTCAGTGATTCATCAGTCTTACATAACGCTCAGTGCTCATTACATCAAGTGCCTTCCTTAATGCCCATCACCCAGTTACCCCATTCCCCCACCCCGTCCCCTCCAGCATCCCTCAATTTGTTTCCTATGGTTCAGTCTCTTATAGTTTGTCTTCCTCTCTGATTATGTCTTTGTTTTATTTTTCCATTCCTCCCTCTATGTTCCTCTATGCTGTTTTGTTTCTCAAATTCCATCTATGAGTAAAATCATATGATAATTGTCTTTTTCCAATTGACTTATTTTACTTTTCATAGTATCTTCTAGTTCCATCCACATCATTGCAAATGGCAAGCTTTCATTTTTTGATGGCTGAGTAATATTCCTGTGTGTGTGTGTGTGTGTGTGTGTGTGAGAGAGAGAGAGAGAGAGAGAGAGAGAGAGAGAGAATGAATGAGAATAGACCACATCTTCTTTATCCATTCATCTGTTGATAGACATTTGGGCTCTTTCTGTAGTTTGGCTACTGTGGACATTGCTGCTATCATCATTGGGGTTCGGGTGCCCCTTTGGATCACTACATTTGTATACCTAGAAGTGTAATTGCTGGGTCATAGGGTAGCTCTATTTTTAACTTTTTTTTTTAAATTTAAAGATTGTATTTATTTATTTGACAGAATGCATACAAGCAGGGGAAGTGGCAGGGAGAGGGAGAAGGAAAGGGAAAAGCAGGCTCTCTGAGCTGGGAGCCCGAGGCAGGACTTGATCCCAGGGTCCTGGATCATGACCTGAACTGAAGGCAGACGCTTAACTGATTAAGCCATCCAGGCACCCTTTATTTTTAACTTTTTGAGGAACCTCCATACTGTTTGCGGAGTAGCTGTACCAATTTGTGTTCCCACCAACAGTGTAAAAGGATTCCCCTTTCTCCACATCCTTGCCAACATCTGTCATTTCCTGATTTGTTAATTTTACCCATCAGACTGGTGTGAGGTGGGTATCTCATTGTAGTTTTGATTTGTGTTTAGCTGATGCCCGGTGATGTTGAGCATTTTATCATGTGTCTGTTGGCCATTTGTATGTCTTTGGAGAAATGTCTGTTTATGTCTTCTGCCCATCTCTTGATTGGATTATTTGTTCTTTGGGTGTTGAGTTTGATAAATTCTTTATAGCTTTTTGGATACTAGCCCTTTATCTGATAAAACATTTGTAAATATCTGCTCCTATTCAGTTGGTGTTTTTTTTTTTGTTTTGTGGATTGTTTCCTTTGTTATGCAAAAGCTTTTTATCTTGATGAGGTCCTGGTAATTAATTTTTGCCTTTGTTTCCCTTGTCTTTGGAGAGGTGTCTAGCAAGAAGTTGCTACAGCCAGGTTGCTGCCTGTGTTCTCCCCTATGATTTTAATGTATTCCTGCTCACATTTAGGTCTTGCATCCATTTTGAGTTTATTTTTGGGTATGGTGTAAGAAAACGGTCCAGTTTCATTCTTCTGCATGTGGCTGTCCAATTTTCCCAACACTATTTGTTGAAGAGACTTTTTTTCTTATGGATATTCTTGCCTGCTTTGTTGAAGATTAGTTGACGATAGAGTTGAAGGTGTGTTTGTGAGTTCTATATTCTGTTCCATTGATCTATGTGTCTGTTTTTGTGCCAGTACCATACTGTCTTGATAATTACAGCTTTGTAATCGAGTTTAAAGTCTGGAATTGTTATGCCACAGCTTCGGTTTTCTTTTTCAACATTACTTTGGCTATTCAGGGTCTTTTCTGGTTCCAAAGAAATTTTAGGATTGTTTGTTCCAGCTCTGTGAAAAAAGTTGATGATACTTTGATAGGGATTGCATTGAATATGTAGATTGCTCTGGGAAGCATAGACATTTTAACAATATTCTTCCAGTCCATGAACATGGAATGTTTTTCCATTTTTTTTGTGTATGTCTTCCTCAATGTCTTTCATGAGTGTTCTGTATTTTTCAGAATACAGATCCTTTACCTCCTTGGTTAGGATTATTCCTAGGTATCTTCTGGTTTTTGGTACAATTGTAAATGGGATTGATTGCTTAATTTCTCTCTCTTTTTAAAGATTTTAATTATTAGACAGAGAGAGAGAGAGAGAGAGAGAGAGAGCAGCAGAGGGAGAAGGAAAGGGAGAGGATGAAGCAGGTTCCCCACTGAGCAGGGAGCCCAATGTGGTCTTGATCCCAGGACCTTGGGATTATAACCTGAGCTGAAGGTAGACATTTATTTAGCTGACTGAACCACCCAGGCATCCCTTCATTTCTCCTTCTTCTATCTCATTGTTAGTGTATAGAAATGCAACTGATTTCTGTGCATTAATTTTATATCCTGTCATGTTGCTGAATTCCTATCTGAGTTCTAGCAGTTTTGGGGGGAGTCTTTTGGGTTTTTCCACATAAAGTATCATGTCTTCTGTGAAGAGTGATAATCTGAGGACTTCTCTACCTATTCTGATACGTTTTATTTCTTTTTGCGGTTTGCTGAAGCTAGGACCTTTAGTACTATGTTGAACAACAGTGGTAAGAGTGGGCATCCCTGTTGTGTTCCGGGTAAAAGCTTAGGGTAAAAGCTTTTACCTTAGGGTAAAAGCTCTCAGTTTTTCCCCGTTGAGAATATTTGCCATGGAGTTTTTGTAGATGGCTTTTATGATATTGAGGTGTGTTCCCTCTATGCCTACACTGTGGAGAATTTTAAGAAGGGATGCTATACTTTGTCAAATGCATTTTTCTGCATCTATTGAGAGGGCCATAGGGTTCTTGTCCTTTCTTTTATTAATATATCACAATGATTTGTAGATGTTGAGCCACCCTTGCAGCCCAGGAATAAATCCCACTTGGTCGTGGTAAATAATCCTTTTAATGTACTGTTGGATCCTATTGGCTAGTATCTTGATGAGAATTTTGTATCTGTGTTCATCAGGGATATTGGTCTGTAATTCTCCATTTTGGTGAGATCTTTGTCTAGTTTTGGGATCAAGGTATGCTGGCCTCATGCAGCTGTTTCTATTTTTTGAAACAGCTTTAAAAGAATAGATATTAATTCTTTAAATGTTTGATAGAATTCCCCTGGGAGGACATTGGGCCCTGCGCTCTTGTTTGTTGGGAGATTTTTATTACTGCTTCAATTTCCTTGCTGGTTATGGGTCTGTTAGGTTTTTTATTTCTTTCTGTTTTAGTTCTAGTATTTTGTAAGTTTCTAGGAATCCATTTCTTCCAGATTTCTTTTGGTGTCCATTAGCATGATAAATGGTTCTCTACCCCTTCACTTTCAATCTGGTCCTATCTTTAGATCTAAAATGAGTCTCTTATAGACAGAGCAGATCAGTGGGTCTTGCTTTTTTATCTGATACCCTGTGTCTTTCGATTGGAGCATTTAGCTCATTTACATTCGGAGTAACTATTGAAAGATATGAATTTAGTACCATTGTATTACCTGTAAAGTCACTGTTTCTGTTTATTGTTTTTGTTGCTTTCTGGTCCATATTGCTTTTGGGCTCTTTTCACTTAAAGGATCCTCTTTAATATTTCTTGCAGGGGCTGGTTTAGTGATCACAAATTCTTTTAGTTTCTGATTGTCCTGAAAGCTCTTTATCTCTCCTCCTACTCAGAATGACAACTTTACTGGATAAAGTTTTCTTGGTTGCATATTTTTCTCATTTAGAACCCTGAATGTATCATGCTAGTCCTTTCTGGCCTGCCAGGTCTCTCTGAATAGGCCTGCTGCCAGCCATCTGTTTCTTCCTTTGTAGGTTAAGGACCTCTTGCCCCCCCCAAGCCGCTTTAAGGATTTTCTCTTTGTCTCTGAAATTTGTAAGCTTCACTATTACGTTGAGGTGTTAACCTATTTTTATTGATTTTTGAGGGGGGTTCTCTGTGCTTCCTGGACTTCAATGGCTATTTCCTTCTTCAGATTTGGGAAGTTCTCTGCCATAATTTGCTCTTATACACCTTATGCTCCCTACCCCTTTCTTTCCTCT